CCATGTCTCTGGTTATCTTTGTAAGCAGCCCAAAATAGACATTTAAGATTATCTTTTTTTTTTTTTTTTTAGATTTTATTTATTTATTTGAGAGAGAGAGAATGAGAGATAGAGAGCACGAGAGGGAGGAGGGTGAGAAGGAGAAGCAGACTCTCTGCCAAGCAGGGAGCCCGATGTGGGACTCGATCCCGGAACTCCAGGATCATGACCTGAGCCGAAGGCAGTCGCTTAACCAACTGAGCCACCCAGGCGCCCTCAGATTATCTTTGAAGATCCTACCAATCCCCTGCACAGTTACCCAGTGTGCCTCTGGCTCTCTTGACCTTGATACCTGTAACTATTTTTCTGAGAATTCTCAGAATGGTGTGCTGAGGTATTTTTATCTAACTAAAGTAAGACATGAAATCACTGAGTCTAGTTAGAAGTACTTAGTTCTTCAAATCTGGGGATGTGTCCACATTTTGAAGCTTCAGTAACCAACCATTCTGTAAGTTGCAAGGATGGAGTACTAAAGCTCTACTTATTTGTGACTACAGGATATTTCCAGAAGTCTGCCCCACCCCCCAGTAGGTGGTGGGATTCCTTTTGCCCTCTGAGTCTTTTGGGCTGCTGAGGCTATGAAATGAATGGCCTGGTGGGCAACTTTTTTGGATATAGATTAGTACTTCATCATCCATCTCCAAAGCAAGAAACCTGTAACTAACTCATCTTGAATTCCTTCCAAACAGCTGCTTACCTAATCACCGTTAAAAAAAATCTCTTTCAGTCCTTTCCAGTTTTTCTTTCAGTATATTAATTTTAGACCGTTATAATTTATCACCTGGGTTATTAGCAATAGCATACTGCCTGGCTGTTCTGCTCATAATCACCCTTCCTGTACGTTCCTCACTAATTCCACCAAAATAACATTGTAAAATACACATTGGATCTTAGGATTCCTCTGTTTAAAATTTATCTGCCATCATCTGTTGCATAAAGTCGAACCACTTAGCCTGATATGAGTTTATTTATGAGCTGGCCCTTTGCCTATGCTTTCCCACCAACACTGTGATCTCCAAATTCAGTCTAACAGTTTGAAGTTACTAGAACATACCATATTCTTTTTTTTGCCTTTGTGCTTAGCATGTACTGGTGCTCTACCCCGAATGTTCTTCCCTTCTTGTCTACTTGGCAAACTCTTAACTCATCTTAAAACTCAGTTCAGATGTTTGTGATTCTTGGATGCCTTCTATGACCTCTACAATCAGGCATATTTTTTCTTTTTGTTCTCATATGTTGTTATGCTTGAGACATGGTTCGTCATTTATTTACGTATCTCCCTCACTAGGTCTCTAGGTTCCATAGGAACAGCATTGTAAATCAGCTCCATATTTTTCTATACCTAGTACAATGCATGATATCTTGAAGACCTTTAAAAAAAAATGAATGGTCTTTGATGTTCCTTCCTATTAGTCTTATTATTGGTGAGAATATGGAGTCTTTTTTATTTATTTCTTTAGAATTCATTCTAAAGGTGTCTGAGGGCATAGAAGCAGTAATAAATGTGGGCAGGAAGAATTGTTAATATCTTGCCTTTTGTTAATAAAGTTGAGTGCTTAGAATTTGGAGGAAATAGTGCTGCAAGCAACAAGCTATCCAAACCCATCTTTGCTTTGTTTACTAGAGGTTAAGAGGCAGCTTGTTGTTTAACTCGCCAGCAGGTAACTAATGACAAGTCAGTCCTTCATGGGCAACCAATTCTACACAGTCATCCACCTTTAGGAGAGATCATTTTCTTGGTCCTCACTACTGTAGTCATTTCTTCATCTTCTTTGAGAGACTTTTTTCTTATGGTAATGGAATTGATTTCAAAACTAGTTTCCAAATAAATAATAAAACAGGACATTTATTTGGGCATAGGGAAATTAGCTCACACCACTAAAATTAACTTTTAATAAAAATGCAAAATCTGCATTATTTATAAAGCACTTAGAAACCACTAATTTATTCACTGTAGTTAAGTGATTGGCATCTTTTATATAATTGTTCAACCTAACTCCTCTCAGAAGACTCAAAATTTTACTATTTTTAAAAACCTGATTATGGGGTGCCTGGGTGGCTCAGGCGGCGGTTGAGTGTCTGCCTTCGGCTCAGGTCATCATCCCAGGATCCTGGGATCAAGCCCCGTCAGGCTCTCTGCTCAGTGGGGAGTCTGCTTACCCCTCTGCCTCTGCCTACCACTCCCCCTGAGTGTGCTCTCTCCCCTTCTCAAATAAATAAAATCTTTAAAAAATAAAAAAATTAAAACCTGATTATTTCCTAATTCTTTAATATTTGATACGGAACTTTATTGCATTTAATACATGCAGCACATCTTCCTGCTGTCCTTCCATTTAGTTCTCAGATAAGCAGGAGTCAGTTGGGTAATAAAAGGACAGTAGTCACCCCAGCCTTATCCACAGTTTTGCTTTCTGTGGTTTCAGTTACCTGCTGTTGACTGCCACGTGGAAGCAGATGATTGTCTTTCTGACATGTTGTCAGAGGATCAATAGTAGTCTTAATGCTGTGTCACAACTCCTACATCATTCACCTCATTATGTAGATCTTTTATCATCTCACATCACAAGAAGAAGGGTGAACACAGTACAATAAGATATTTTGAGAGAGACCACATTCACATAACTTTTATTACAGTTATTGTTATAATTGTTCTCTTTTATTATTAGTAATTGTTGTTAATCTCTTATTGTGCCCAATTTATAAATTAAACTTTATCATGGGTATGTACATATAGGGAAAAACAGTAAATATAGGGTTCATTACTGTCTGCGGTTTCAGGCATCCACTGGAGATTTTGGAACATAATCCTGCAGATAAGGGGGGCTACTATAATCAATGCAAATGGATAATTTATCTACAGTTCACAGTGCCCCTTTTCTGGAGGTTTGGTTATCTTGATGATAAGTTTATTAATTAGGAAATCATACCTTTTTATGCTTTGATAGCACGTGTTGATAACTTTTTTTCTTACTAGCAATAGGAATATTACAATAAAGTCATTTTAAATTGTTATATTTTCAAAGGTCTTAAGTTGTTTTATGATTTTTTTTATTCAAGATTAGAGTCTCTTTTGATATTTTTGAAGGTTTTGAAAAGATAGGAAAGGGGAAAGTAAATCCCCATTTCAATCAGCCATTTGGTGCTGCACCTTTCCCTTTGGTTGCTTTTTTTCCTTTTGGTAGTTTTTGGTTTGCTTAATATGATCCTGCTCTATATTTTATTAATCTTTTTAAAATGTATGATCACTTTGGCACTGTCATTTTATTCTAGGGAATCCCAACTGATTGTCATTACCTGGTGATTTTAGTACCTGCCTTCTTGAAGGACAGTTTTATTCATCTCTGTGGTGATTCATTGTGAAAATGCCAACTGGACTTTAAAGTTTAGAACATTTAGCTTGAAGCAGAAACTGAGATGGCTTATTTGTTTTAAATATTCTAAAATAAGACTTAATGTAACATATTCTGTATGAATTTTGAGTAGTCATTGTCTTGATTTTACTATTTTTTTGAATGGCCAGTTGGCCATCTACCGTCCTGGCCAGCCATCCCTCTACAAGTCATTAAACTTTGCTGTCAGTCATCCTAACCCTGCCATAATTTGCCTGACTCCTGGCCTCAGCAGCCATAATTAGTACTGGTCAAGGAGGTGAAAAAGTGACAAAACATGAATGCTGCAGTATAAATAGATTTGCCCCTTTTGTTGGAGAAATTAGAGATACTGTGTAGATTTATTTGTGGATTAGTGTAGCAAAAAAAAAAAAAGTTATTTTATTAGTAAAAGCTGTCCCTTTAAAGTCTGTGTTTCAAAGCCCTTTGGCAAACATTTTTATATTTTCGGTCTACGTTATTTAATAGAAAATTATGTGTATTTGTGTTTATACATTGATAACAACCTCTCCTGTATTAGGACATGACCAGTAGGCTCTGCCCCATATACTCTGTCCAGGCCATTGAAAGATAACTTTAAGATTCACATTTCTTTACTGACCACCCAAGAGTAATAGAAGGCGCATGTTTCCTCTGATTTATATAGAATATAATCACACAGTGAGCTCCAGGGAAGTGTGTGTGAGCACATTGGCCTAAAGAATTTTGTTATTATAGGCTTCTCAGCTTTAGTTCAAGTTACAGGTAATTTCACATTCGTTTTACTCTCAGTTGTTATTCAGAAAAGCTGATTATTTTAAATCTTAAATGAATGTTCACTCATAGGCAGGGTAACTGTTTTCCATTTACCAAAACCTTAGTTGATCCCTCATATGGCAGTGAGACAGAACAAATAAGCTGTGGAAACATTTTATTCTGAAACTTTTCAACAAAAATGTTAAAGGTAGGTTAGTATTAGCTAAATGTATTGACCTATTTTTGAATAATTAGAATTTCACATCAAGGGAGAATATAATCAATCTAAGCCTTGTTTATCTGCTGGTAACTTTAACTCTTGATAGAAGTACAGCACCTTGACACTTTTAAATTAATACTTTCTCTAGCCAAGTGTGATAAAGTGTTATACCTCTTTCCTTTTAAAAAAAAAAAAGTTTAAAATGGGTAATATTCTGAATGATCACAGTTTTTATCTGTGCTTTTTGAAGATTAAATCCAAGTGCTATACAAATCATTCTATCAAGCTATCTTACATATAAAGTTTTAAAAAATGAATCAAGGCAGGAAATCTTTTTTCTACAATAAATAAATACTTTAAGATTTTTCTTTTTCCCTGTTTGATTTCAAATCTTGTTCAGTGTTTACTGCCTGTATCATTTTTTGTTTGCATTATCACTCTTGTATGTGTCTCATGAATTCACTTGAATATTGCAGTTTATTTTTCTATTAAAAAAAAACCCACATACTTTTCATATTAAAACATAAGTACCAACACAGCCTAATTGGAACTTACATAAATCTGGGTGGCATTTGTAAAATGAATTGTTGCTTAATGTTTTTTTTTTATTTTAATAGCCTCAAGTACTACAGCCTTCCAGCAGCCTTCCCAGACCCACAGACCACGCCCAGGGAAAACTAATAAAGCCGCAACATATCGAGGCCCACAGTGAATGCACAATCCAGGACATACAGCGGGGTGTTGCACATCTGGATGAAAGCTTTACACATGGCTTACAACAAGAAAGCAGCTATGGTCTGGAAGACCAGCCTTTTTCTTCAAGCCCACAATTCGCTGAGGATGTGGCTAAGAATACATCTTCTGAAGCAAACTTGAACATGACCACGAATGCTCAAGAGCCTTATCATTCGGCAAATAATCAAATTAGTGACATGCAATTTGTACCTACTTCCCTTCAGACACTTCCCCAGTCAAGTACAGTAGATCATACTAAGAGAGTTGGAAGAAATCAGTCTTCACTGGAGGGCTGCACATCCCAGCCCAAGTCCTTACCGCTTTTTAAGCCATCCATCTCAAATTCTTTGGTACCTCCTCCAGTTTCTGAATCATCTCCAAGTAGGACTCCCACTTGTAAAAAGTCACCAATAATCACACCATGGAATTCATCAAAACTTCAGCCAACATCTAGTCAAACAAATCTTGCAAGCAATCCAAATCCAAAAGCATCTAAGCTCCGTCCCCCTTCTGGCTCTTTCAGACAAAAACAAATAAGCAGCTCCCAACTAGAGCCTCAAAACTTCCAGGCCAAGACAAGCATCCCAAGGCCTCTAACAAGAAGAAAAGAAATCATGCAGAATCTGAACAGCAATTTGAATTCTGGGGATTGTTTGGCTTCTAATCGATACTCCCGTCTTCCTAAACCAAAGATACATTAAGTGCACAGCCATCACCTGCCAATTTGTTTTTTAAAAAAACAATCTGTTCTGTAATAGCTTTATGTGCAGTTTGCTACCATGATGGAGGTTTCATTGAAAGCTTGCAAATCTTAAAATTAAAATGTGGAAGCTTCTAATAGTTTGGCTCTTCCATTTTATATCCTGGTTGAAGTACACAGCATTTGAGTATATTTGTCTCAGGTAAACACAAAAGTTTGCTTGCCCATTTCAGAGACCTACAGAAGGCTCTAATCATGTTATCCATCCCTCTGCACATCAGAAAGTTCATAATATTCCACTTAGCAGGCAAGAAAAGTGCTTTGTTCATTTAGTCCTTTTAAGGTCTGTATTAAATGTGGTTCTTAGAGCCTCACCCTTTTTCACTTGTCCCTCCTGTGAATATGGTTACTGTTTTAACTGAAGATATGGTGATAATTGAAGATGGTAGACTGTAAGTAAAATTCTGGCCAGTGCTTTGTGTATTCAAAAGGTCTATGCAAAAGCTTTGTGATGAATAAAAGAGATCAGGCTTTTAATGGGAAGTCTATGTAAGTTTTATTTTTCCTTGCTAGGATCAGCCAGTTAGTCTCAGTATTTATTTATTTACCACATAAAGAAACAAAGATGTTTCATGTGATATAAAAACCAATTCTATGTTGCTTTAGCATCTTGTTTTGCATGTGTGTGAGTACACACACACACACGCACACACACACACGCACACACACCCACCCACCCCATTTGTATTTGTTTTTGCTACTCCATAAATTTTGGAAAGCTTGGGTTACATTTTGAAGCCTGTACCTAAAGATGTATTCATTTTGTAACATGTGTTGTTGGTGCTAGAGTTTTGCTGGTAATTGTTTTGAACCCTGTAGGCTTATGGATCCATGATAACTGTTTTAAGGTTCCACAGCTTATATTTTAAATTAAGTCTTTATTATAATATTTATATTTATTGACTTTCTGCTAATATCTGAAGACTGGAATAATGGACTTGAAATGTTTGCACAAACCTTTGATGAGCTATAAATACCCCACGGAATAGGGATTGAAACTATTTTCTATAGCAAAACAGTTAAAATATTTTGAGAATAATTATAAACTTAAGTAAGACTATCTTGAGAAAGCTGGAATTCTTAATAGTTTTTGTTTTTCTGAGTTTTCCAGGTTTCCCTTTTATGTTAGTGTGTTTGGCAGTTTCTTGAAAAGTAGATTTGGGATGAAAAATAGAATTGGAGAGGGACATTGTGTTTTATTAAAAGGTATTAAAAGCTATCTTAATGTTTTAGGAAGGTAGCTGGGGAACCGCCAAGGGACCATATACACCAACCCAATCATGGTGCGGGCCACTCATCAGATGGTTCAATAAATTTACCCTCTGTTCTCCCAAATCATGTCATCTTTAGGCAGTTCACCTGTTGCTGCTTTAATTAGAATTAATGTTTTTCAGATAGCCTTTTACAAAGTCAATTTTTGTTGTGATCAGCTGACCAAAACTGTATCATAAGGGATTATGACCAAAAAGTTAGTCACTCAAAGTTCCAGGGATTTCATTTTAAAAATGGACACTGGTGAAATTGCCCCTTTTAAGAAAAACAACAGCAAGTGCTTTTGTGGAAATTTCGAAAGAGCTGTTTCCTGTCATTTTGATGTAGTCTTCCCTTGCCTACCAGAGGACCATTTGAGTGAATTTGCCATTCACTGGATACAAAAACCATTCTTGGATTTGGTAAGAGGTGAGCGACACAAATCTAGTACCATAGTCTCATTCAACAGAGAAGCGCTAAAGTTCAGAAAGATTTTCACATAGTCCAGATATTGTTAGTGTAAAGTACTCAGACATATCAGCAAAGCTCTTCTTTGTTCATAGAGACAAGAAGTGATGGCTGGCAGCTGTAAGTGGGTACATGTGGTGTATCATCTTGAAGAGGAACAAAAACTGATCTCATATATTGCAAATGGAATGTTATCACACTATATTTTCCTAAAGTAAACATTGATGAATTGGTTTTGGTTTATTTAGAAGTTGGTGTAGACTCTTGTGAAATATTATTTACAAGTAGTCCTTTAATGGAAAAGTTCAAAGCTTTTACTTATTTTTGACCCCCTAGTCTGAGGGAAATATCTTTGTCATATAAAAATGTTGACTCCTGCAATTTGTTTATTCCAGTCTTTTTCCTGCTCTATTTTTTCTCCCTGATGAATTTACAGAAATATTAACCCATGAGTTTATCAACTTCTCTGTGCTTTTGTTGAGCCTCAGTCTTGGCTCAGCAATATAATTATGAAGCATAATATATTTAAGAGAAAAAATCTAGTATGCTTGTACAAAACAAGTTTTGCCTGCAGTTTGCTTTTAAAAACTGCATGAATATTTCTTTAAAAACTGCTCCATAGTAATTAAGTCAGAAATGAGGTGAGGATGTAACTCACCTGAATAATCAGGGATCACTCTCAGATTTGGCTTGATCTCTGTTTAGTGCTTCTATAAGTCAACTCTGTGCCAAATCCTCCTCTACGGGAACTCAGATCACTTTTTTTCTGAGTTCTTGTGATTTCGGTGAAGATGGCTGCAGTATATGAATTGTAAATCCTGAAGAAAAAGTTTTGTGGGGGTTGGTTAAGTTTCACATTTGTGAATGAGAAAAGTAATAGAGCATGTAGAATTTGACATTCGGCTGTTGATGGAATGGATGTATATCAAATTCTTTAGAGAAGGCTTGGCCTAAGGAGTTAATCAATACAGGTGCAGATGATTTTAAGGCATTAAACAAAGGATTATATAGTTATATCATTTAGAATGTTTCTAATAACTGAGACCCTCTAGCATTTTTCTTTTGGAGTCTCATTTTAATTTGTGCAATATTTTCAGGCATATAGACTACTGTTCATTGTATTTATATAGACGTTAGGGAACTTAGTAAGTATTTTAACAAGTAAAAATCTGAATAATGAGAGAAAGTATCAGATTTGCACTTTAAAATAAGCTTAATTGCTTGGAGTTGTGCCTGAAATATCGAAATGCCTCTTGGGCGTGGCTTTGTTGTTGAAATGAATTTCTCTATAACTGTTGCTGTTTGAAGTACAGCCTTTCACAGAATTATATCCTCAGCATGTCACTTTACTCATTAAAGCACTAAGTTCTTTGAATGTTTCATGGTACCCTTAAGTATTTTACTCAGTGTGTCAAAGAGAACATGATCCACCCCCTCCCGTAGCTACTGTCACTTCTGGTCTTCCTGTAGATGGTTGTTACAGACACAGAAGTGCACTTCTCATTTCTGGGCAGAGTTGTCATGATGGTTTCCTGGTCTCTGGGACACTGACGATGTAATTTGGAGTCACCAACTAGGCTTGCAATGAAGTTCAGTAAGACTGCAGCATAGTTTCAGTTTACTCTTCTCCTACACAGTAGTTTTCGTGTTTATAAATTAGTTCAGGTGGTTATGTTTGCATGCCTATGCATACATTTGAAAATTAATTATAGCTGTAATACAAATACCTGATGTTTTTCCTTGAGGATGATGGCCTTGCTGTTTTTCTTAATTCTGATGCTTGAATTATATTTTCTAATTTTCTTTCCACACCTCCCTTCAATTTTTCTGCTGCAGCAATTTGAAAGAATACACTTGGATAAATGATTATGATGGTGGGTGCCAATCTACAACTATGCTATTAATTAAAGATACATCATATATTTTAACTGTGTTGGGGAAAAGCTACCCACTTTCTCCTCATTAGAGTGTCACCATAACAAAATAATACTGACCCTACAAATTTAAAGTCTCTAAGTCATTACTAACTAAAAAACACCACAGTCTTTAATACCTGCAGTATTGTTTTCCCCATTGATTTTAAAAACCAGAGTAAATACTGTATATTAGAATTTGCTTGTAAAATGAGTTATAAAAACTGGATGTAAAGTCTCTTTCCTGAAAATGTTGGCATAGTAAATAAAAATAAAGTTCATAATTATAAAAGTTTTCTTGTCCTCAACACTGCCTTCCATAGTGTACTTTTTCTCGGATATATTTTTCTCCACAAAGATCCAAAATGCTCTTCATTTGGTTGATTTTCAAACTGTCATTTTACATGCTCCCTTCTACACACGTATCACACTCCAAGCCCTGATTAAGTAGGAGGTGAACAATAATTTAGTGTTTCCACCGACTCTGTAAGTGATCTAATGCATCCGTTTCCATTTTAATCAAATGCCTGCTTTATCTCAGAAAAATAATTGGGATAACAGATAATTTTTACTTAAAAAAATATTAGCACCTTGAGTGAGAATACTGCATACAAGAGGAAAACTTTGTAATTTTAATTATTTTTTTAGACATATACAAAAAAAGCTTGAAGCAACAAGAGTGCTTAATGAAATTTTACATAGTTTTTAGGAACAAAAGGAACAAGGCATTTATAATTTTCCAATTCAACTATATGTGGTAATATATAATGAGATATAATGAGATATAAAAAGTTGATGCAGTGATATTAATTATTAATTCAAAATGGTTTTATAAATGTTGGAAAAAGAATGAAGGAAATTTCATTACTAATAAATTTAATAATGGCATTTACCACCTCTTAAGTCATCTCTATCAGTTTTAAGGCCCTCTGAGTTATTAGCAAGTACTTTCTTAGTTGGATTAACTCTAAATTTTTCTTTTTTAGGCTGTTATCAAGTGTAATTTCATTTGTTCCTCATGTTCATTCCACATTTTCCATTCTGAAAATCTTTTTTTTCCCCCACAGAAAGACAAGTAGAAGTTGAATCTGACTTATCCTTCTATTAATGGGGTTTAAGTAATTTTTGTGGATGTCTTATGGGTGTCAGTCCCTATGCTAACTGCTGGGTGTACTGAGGTTGAAGACCACGTGGTCCCTGCCTCATGGAGCTTAAGGAGCTGCAGGTGGTTTTAACATCATGCCATCCTATTCAGGAATGCCCTGTTTATCATCTCATTTAGAACATAACAAGAAAACTCCTTTCCCCCTCATTTCATTTTATTCTGGGCTTTAACTGCCTTTTACTATTCACATCTTTGCTTCTGTATTAATTATTGGTTACATGCTTTCATTTCCCTTTGATAATCTGATTTGATTCGAGAACTTCTTTAGCCATATCAAATATTCTTAAATTCTCTGCCCTTTCTTTCTTATGTCATCAGCCAGGATTTAATTTTGAGGCTTCTAACTCTCTTAAACCACCTTCCCTTTTAGGCCTTGGCCCATAGGATCTCATATTCTGAAGTCTACCTTTAACATTCAATTCATACAGTTTACATCCAGGCTTCATTTTCCTTCTGTCCCATTCTCGTATACATATAAAATCTAGTATGGCCTAGTTGATACTTTTGGTTACCTGCCATTTTTTGCTATGTGATCTGTGAGGAGAAATTTAGGTCATCTGGAAGAGCCTTTTCCTCATTCATGAGTTCTTCCCCAAAAATCCTCAAATTAGCATCCATGTCTTATAAAAAAAAAAAAGAAACAATTCCTCACAGACCTTTCTCTGATTTTCCAACCATAGAAACGGTATTGCTGTTTTCCAGATTTGGGAGTATGACCTGTTATCTGATCTAATCCACACATAAATTTATTCAGGCATACATTTTGAATATGAATAATGCTTCTTTGGTGATATTTTAGGTGATTATAGTTTTCTGCAAAAGCACATCTCAAATGTTCATCTGTTAAAGTGAAAGATACCAGCTTTTCTTTGATTCCTCCCAGTAAATATTGTTAAAATGCTTGTTGTGTGCCAAACCCCGGATTTGATCTTGTAGGGGATCAATGAGACACATCCCTGCCGTGGAAGAGACCACATTACAGCAGAATAGGTCCCCAACTGATGGAGGGCTACCTCCAAAATCATTCTCCCTTAACAAATGTGCATTTGCCTTAGAATTTTTTACTGAATTACAAGTAAAACTTAGATCATTATCACATATGTCATAGGTAATGATACATTCAACCAACTTGAGACCTTTTTAAGCACATGACTAGTTCAAAATACTTTTGAGTTCTAAGGAATTTTCACGACAAATCTTAGATGAAATGTTATATTTATGTACTGTAAATTAAAAGTAGTTTTCATGAGTTGCAGTGAAAAGAAAAAATAGGATCTTTGATGAATTATTTGTTCATGGTTTTTCGTAAGTTGTATCCCAGACTAACGCTGAGATGCAAACACATGTACTCTAAGCACCTTGCTACCTCGGTCCTGTTCAAAGAGCCAGGGTTAGAGCTTAGAGGAGATGTTTGGGATTGGGTTTATGCCTGACCTGGGCAGCTCATCTCAGGACTCCCTGAGAACCCTAGACCTTGGTCTGACTGTTCTTCTAAAGGGAGCTTGGGCTGAGGGCAAGGGAATAAAGAACAGTGAACTCCTGCCTTTCAGAACTCCCCAAGAATCTGAGAAGCAGAGGAGACCGTGGATTTATAATCATTTGTGAATGTTGCAAAAAGCATTACTTAAGTTGCAGAATGGACCAACCACAGACAAAAGTACAATGAAACATAAAAACTTGACCTTTGCTAGTAGAGTGAGGCAAAATAGAATGGCAGGCCATTTATACACCTTTGTACGCAAAGATCTATTTAAATTAAGAATGGAAAATAAGAAATTTCTGATGGGGTGATTAAATTATTCACATATGAAGGGTTCTTGAGGGGAGGGGGGTGGGGGGATGGGTTAGCCTGGTGATGGGTATTAAAGAGGGCATGTTCTTCGTGGAGCACTGGGTGTTATGCACAAACAATGAATCATGGAACACTACATCAAAAACTAATGATGTATGGTGATTAACATCATAATAAAAAAGTAAAATAAATCCTACTTCATCATAGTAAAAAAAAATCCATTATGAAAGTAATTATATGGTCTCTTAATGTCTTAAAGAATATTTACTCAGAGTGTTCACATTATAACATTTACTCAAAGTATTTTGTCCCATAACTGGGACAAAAGCAAAATAACAAAGCTGTGAATGCAGTACACTCCCAGTATGTATGTGCCTATAAATACCTAGACAAAAGAACAGTAGTTAAGAATAGGGATAGAATTATGGGTGGTTTGGGCGCCTGGGTGGCTAAGTCGTTAAGCGTCTGCCTTCGACTCAGGTCATGGTCCCAGGGTCCTGGGATAGGGTCCTGGGATCGAGCCCGGCATCAGGCTTCCTGCTCAATGGGAAGCCTGCTTCTCCCTCTCCCACTCCCCCTGCTTGTGTTCCCTCTCTTTGCTCTGTCTCTCTGTCAAATAAATAAATCTTAAAAAAAAATTATGGGTGGTTTTATTTTTTAATCTTCATCTTTATATTTTCTATGTTTTTAAATTAAGAGACCATGCTCTTATAATCAGAAAAGGGTTTTTTTGTTTCTTTTAACTAGCCAGGTCATTTCTATTGCCTAGGCAGCATTTGTAAAGCACCTGGCACAAAGGCACTCACTAATTGATCCTCCTTACTCCACACCCCCACTTCCCCTAAAACACACACACTACTTTGAGCCTAGAAAATAAAGTTTTATGGAAAGGGAGAGTTGGGTCACCTTGTCCTTAGGAATTTCTGACTTTACTCATGGCTATCACCACAATCCTATAGTCCTCATTTAAGTTTTGAACCCAGAAGTAAACCTAGAGCCTTTCCTGAGCCCAGCTGACTTGGGCTATGACTTAGTGAAATTAAGGAGCACAGGAATCCTCAGTGCAGCCAGGCTTCCTCCAAGCTCCTGGTGCTGCCTGGTCTGCCTTTAAACTCTTACTCATCCTTCAGCGTTGCATCTTCTTGTCCAGCCTTTTCTGGTTCCACTGGATTTGCACACACCTGAAAGCCATCTCCTCAGCGGGAGCCCTCAACACCCTGGAGGGAGCTGGTCCTCTCCACCACTCATGCCTCTCTATCTGGTTACTGATACATTGTTACATGAGTAGACAAATGGAAGGTCAGGATAGGACCTGCAGAAAGAGTGACCATGAATTTGAAAACCCCCAACCAATTGAGCTGAAGTTGGGAAAGGGTGAGGGATGGAGTGGGGCATTTCAAATTCTTTAAAATTTCTCTTGTTAACTAGCAACAGCAAGTTAAAACATTTGAAATGGAAGATACTTAAGTTTTCTAGGAACAGGATATAATAGGATGTGAAATGTCACTAGTATGTCAACACATGGTCAAATTGGCCTCAGCTAAATTTTATTCCTGTGCCCCACCAGACTTATCTGGAGCAAGGACATGTTTGGGGCTATTGGACAGGAACTAGAAATGTTACTAAAATCCATGGGTACAAAATTGTTGCATTTTCTTTAATGGTTACCTTTATTAACTATGTTGCCCCACTCAACAAAATGTGTAAAACACTAAAGAGGAAGGCACTCAAAAAAGATGTGGCAGGTAGTGATGATCCTTACATGTAGAGAGTCAGAGCCAGAAGAAAATGGCAGGAGCTTTGGAAGCCTCCCTTTCCCAGCCTCTGGGCCCATTGCCCTGGCATAACCCTCAGTATCCCATCAGTATATTGGTCAGTATCCATTAGAGCCAATTCCTTCTCACCTACCTGTTTAAGTCTACCTGCACCTGTCCCCTTCCTATGGTTGCTTGTTCCCTGTCTCCTGTGCTCCTGTACACTTCCCTGGAGCAAGAAAAGATGTGTCCTGGGCTTCCTTCATCTCCCTGCAGGGTCCGCAGGCCCAGCAGTCTCTGGTTACAGGGGTACAGCCATGGAGGAGTGAGCCATCTTTGTTCACAACGTCCTGTTACAGGATGATGTGTCAGCAAATTTTAAGTCACTTATGCAAAGACACAGCTAGTGGCAGATCTATTTGACACCAAATGTAGTACTACTGCATCATTGTTTTACTCCATTTTGCATTCAGGTAATTGGGATTTGCATCAGAGATAGGGCCTCTATCAGTGACAAAATACATTTCTCCTGAACTTGAATAGATTACACACTTAGCATATACTAACTGGGCCTGGAGATA